TTAAAAATGAAAGCCTGCTAACCCTAACCCTAATTCTAACCCTAACCCTAATCCTAACCCTAACCCTAACCCTAATCCTAACCCTAACACTACTTAGAATTTAATTTAAAAAATTAACTATAATTGTATCAACCAATGGGAGTTGGGAGGTATGCAGGCCCTAGCTGCGAGTCTGTGTGTGTGTGTGTGCGTGCGTGCGTGCGTGCGTGCTACCGAAACACAACTTTAATCAGCACAACAATGTCACCAATGAACATTGTTGCTGTCACTAGATAGGAAGATTATGCTGGTACAAAAATGCATATCCTAACAGTGTTTAGGTATGGCGATTCTGCGTACAAAGTCGTTTAACTAGGGCAGCACTAAGCCAACAGCTCCAGTGCCGTGGGATAACGCAAATTGCAAGCATGCGATTACCGAGTCACTCTTTATTTGTTCACTTCTTCACATGTTTCATATGCACAAGCCTTAATTTAATCAGTCAACACGTGATTATTTATGACTATTGCTGAGATACTTACGTGTATTTTTTATTTCCGTAATAACTGCCACAGCTCAGTACTACTGCACCAAATACAATCTTTTTCCAGTGCTTCTTTGGAAAACCAATAACGGAGGCTGCCATATTTCCTTTCGTGTATTCGGTAAATCACGATTCACGGTATATGTATCTATATAAAATAACTAAAAGAAACATTAAAATGATTATTTAGTATTGTTTGATATCTCAAGAAACACAAGAAAAGCATGACAATTACGTGAATCTTACTATCAATGATTATATCATCATTAGATGTTTCGGTGTTTGGTAAACGTCATAATTTCCTGTCAACGCAAGCAACATGTCAGCGTCCATTACCTATTTTGTTTTGAAGCAAATCACATATTTATAAAAATGACAGCACCTGCGTCTGCAGTAGGAGAGCAGGGCTCAAGTAGCACCGTAAAAATAATTGCCAACTTATTTATTTCGTTCATAGGAGCAGGAATCCTTGGTCTACCATATGCTTTCAAAGAGGTATAGCTAGTATAGTCTAGAGTCTAGACTATAGTCTATAGACCCCTTGCAGTCACATCCCGTTTTTACCAAGTGCTCGGATGCGCCGCCATGTTGGAAGCATAGTATGATAGTAAACAAGCGGAATGGAGGCATCTCTCACACACACACGCACACGCACACGCGCGCGCACACACTCACACGCACACACAGGATGCGTACCTCAATGTGGATGACGTCGAACGCTCGCCGCTGGTCCCGGATTGCAGCCATCATCGCCTCGCCGATGAACTGAACGTTGGTGAGCTGACTTCCGAACAGCCTGCGCGCTATCGTGTTTGTCTTCCCGATCGGCGCAATGCCTATCGCGAGCTTAGCGATGCGCTCCTGGTCCGGTCGCCTCAACAGACCCGTCACTGCCTGCAGCGAAACAGACGACATCACGAGTGAATCTAACTGGGTTAATTGTTACTCAAGCGTGAAAATTGAAAATTGAAATTTTCAATTATTCACGGTTGAGTAACAATTAACCCAGTTAGATCTATTAGTCTACCAACGGAATGAACATATTTAATGAAAGACTAGTGAAGACTGGAGTCGGGGACTGTGTCTCAAATACGATCACTAATGGTCAACGATCACGAGATTGACGTCCAGAAGACTGGAGTCTTTGGGGACTGTGAACTCCAAATTGACGATACATAATGGTCGCAACAATCCCGAAGATAGTCGTCAGAAGACTGGAGTCTTAGTGGGACTGTGACTCCAAAGACGATCACAATGTCCCAAGGATCACGAGATGACATCTAAAGACGATCGCGCAGACTTAAAGCGAGGGACTGCTGACTCAAATGACGATCACAATGTCAATGCATTCACGAGATGATGTCAGAAGGAATGAGAGTTCTTGGGCGACGGTGACTCAAATGATGATCACATGTCAACGAGTTACGCAGATGACGTTAAAACAGCACGAGCGCGAGACTTAAAACCGGTGTGACTGTGCTCTCCAAATGTATGATCACAATGGTCACACGATTACGAAGATGACGTTACTAAACAGACGATCAGCCGAGACTTAAAAATCGGTGTGACTGTGCTCTCAAAATGGCTGTTCCTGTTGTAGTAGGCAGTTTCCTATCAACACGGGTGGCACCACACCTGCACCGTGGCACCACAGCGCACGCTGGCACCACAGCGCACCGGTGCACCACAGCGGCACGGTGGCCACCATCAGCGCACGGTGGCCACCACAGGCGCACCGGTGGCCACCACAGCGCACCGGTGGCACCACAGGCACGAGTGGCACACAGGCGCAGCTGGGCACCACAGCGCACGTGGCCACCACAGCCACGGTGGCCACCACAGGCACGGTTGGCACCACAGCGCCCACGGGTGGCCAACCAACACCTGTTACGTGGCACCACAGCGCACGTGGCACCACAGCGGCACGGTGGCCACACAGCGGCACGCTGGCACCGCAGCGCACCGGCGCGGCCCAACACGCGCACGGCTGGCCACACATGCGCACGCGGCACACAGCGCACGGCGCACCACAGCGACGGCCGCCACCGACAGCGCACGGCCGCACCACAGCGAACCGGTGGACCGCCAGCGCCACGGTGGCCACCACAGCGCACGGTGCACCACAGCGCACGTGGCCACCACAGCCGCACAGCGGGCACCAACTGTACGGTTGGACCACAGCGCACGCGTGGCACCACAGCCGCACGGTGCACCACAGCACCGGCGGCACCACAGCGCACGGTGGCACCACACTGCAACGTTGCGGAACGTGGAAGCCATACGAACCTCGCTGAGGGCGCCGTCGCCGCCGGCGATGATAATCGCATCCGTATCGTCGACAACCTCCATCAGCGCCTTCAGTTGACTGTCGTGCTCCGTCTGTAAATACGAAAGGGCTCCGTGAATACTGTGATCACGGGAAGCCTTGGCGATGCGACGTTTAGAGATTTAGAGTTTTAGAGATTTGGAGTTTTAGAGATTTAGAGTTTTAGAGATTTGGAGTTTTAGAGATTTAGAGACGAGAGATTTAGAATTTTAGAGATTAGAGATGCAAAGAAGCGTATCATAACCTATACTTCGGTTATTGTTCCGTAAATGTATTTTTTCATAGTATAGGAATATCAGGATTTAATACGAAATGGTATATTCTATTCATATGAGCGATCGCTCATTATGGACTATTCAGATACTGAAATCTACTCTAGATTTTAAAAAGATTTTTAAGTAAGCTGGGTTACTTACTTTGACTATTGATACTTGAATTCCAGCTAAATGCAGTAGTGGTGCTCCAAATTTCTCAAATAGTTGTCTACCAGTTCTGAAAAAAAATTGTTATTACACATGATTACTCAGAAAGATAATAATGGGTGAAACTAAGATTATTGTAACGTTCTTCTCCTTCATTAGTTATATAACCATTAAATGTAGAGGGTATTTCAGACATTAAAAATACATTTACGGTCGCATTTCATCGATGTACATACCCATCCTGTGCAGCAGGGTTAAGTAGGACTGTTATGTGTCGGGGTTTCTGTGATGCCAACAGAGGCTGTGCACCATATGCCTGAAAAATATAATAACAATAATATCACGACTGCAGCTGGTGAGCATATTCAATTTCGATCGGAAAGAATTTAATCAGTTAGATTTAGTTTTAATGGAATACCATGCGAATACAATGTCTGTTTGAGACTTGTCACTCACTCTAGCCTCTTCGGAGTATTTCCTCTTTAGCTCATTCTCCCTGCAAAGAATGATAAGCTGACACCATCACTCAGTATATAGAGCCTATTACATGTGACTTGTGCTCACAGATATGTATGGAACTTTCCCTATCACACTGTCACCAGAGTGCACTCATAGTTATCTTTGCATAATTGCCAATACTTATATCAAACACAAACATAAACTCAACGTTATATTCACCATTTGTATTTATAACGTCATGTATAGTTTCTAAGAAACACCTCAATTTACCATTAAATATGATTTTACTTAGATATGCAATAACGTGATTTAGACTAAATTTGCTACAAACCATGTGAGAAGCAAACTCAGAATAAGCAGTCCTTGATATACATGTCTTTATTGATGATAACATTTTAAAATGACAAGCTGTAAACAGTATACATAAAAACTGATATTTCACTCTCTATGCATACTTATGGCGAATATCTATATGCCATTTCTATTGGACAACTTGGGAAATGTGCGCTTTTCTTGTGATCTTTACATATTGTCACTAATAGTAATAGATGGCAGTCTCTCTTCGAATTTTTTCCAAACATTTTTTAGGTTAATTGATAAATGAAAATTAAGAACCTATGCTGCCTCAACATTTATAATGGTTGAGTTGAGCCTATTAGCTGCAAAACTGCAATAAGCTGTCTTTCAACAGCAGATAATATTGCATACATTGACTATATATTTGCCAAAGATTTGCTTATTGTGGATTCTCCAAACATTCTTGTATCAGTGTGCATAAACAAAACCAAACCGTGAACTTTGAACTGATGTCACAACATAGCATGCATTATCTTCCACGCGAACATAGTGACGAAAATTCATTCTCGAACAATTTAAACACCATTCAAATCTGTAAGACATGCATGCCGACTGAATAAATGACTACAATCTTATCTCTGAACCATGAAAATAAATTGCCCACATCGCTTCACCAAAACTGACACACGACCAATCCGATTAGTACAAAATATCCCAGTATCCCTAATATATCAATAGTACTTATCACCTCACACTAAATCAGTATCCTATATATATCAGTCTTATATCAGTCTTATATTATATATCCCCCACTTCACTCGAAGCTCAACGCTAATAAATCATCGAGTTCAATACCGCACGTCAGTGACAGCACGACTGATGAGTGTAGTGTCATAATCCGAGAAGGAGAAGACGACCTCATCGCATCTTCGCCTCATCGCTATATGAACGCGAGCTGAGCTTGAGTTCAACACTGCACAGCAGTCACCCCACGACACGTCGCGTCTAGTGTAGTGACCCGAGAAGAAGAAGACCGAGCGAGACTTCCATCGCTACGTGAACGCGAGCTGCCACACGGCCGCCGCGGCGATGTTTCCGACGAGCAGTATCGTGCCTGGAGCGGACGGATCGTCGTGTAACAAGCCGCTTTGCAGCCGCGGCGCGCGGGTACCGGCCGAACGCCATCTCGACGAGCGCCTCGACAATCCACTGTCCGTCGAGAGCGTAGCAGGGCACGACGTTGAGGCACAGCGAGCGCTCCCGACAGCGGATCAGGTACTTGACAGAGCGTCTCGAACACCGTGCGGGAACGCGGACGGCGACAAGCCAGGTGTCCGTGGCGCACGGGCCCACAAACAGCCTCAGTCGCTCACGTGCTTCTCACCCGATTAGAGCAGCTCGACGCGGGTGCGCCGCCGCGAAGACGGACGGGTCGTGCTGCTGCGCGCTACGCCTCTCCTTCTCGCACTCGTGCGCGACCGATGCTCGAGCTAGTCGCGTCGCGTTGCGAGCGACGGTGTACGCTAGCAGACGACGTCCCGCGCCACCGTAGCAGTCGACGCGTTGCGGCATGATGACAGGTGGCGAGAGCCGCGCGCGGCCGAGAGGGCACCGCGTGCGCCGGACCGCCGCCGCTCGCCGCCGCAGCGTCGTCGTCGCGTCGTCTCTGTAGAGGAAGCACAGGCTTGCTCGCCATGCTGCTGTTGCGGGCCAGCACTCGACGGCCGCCGGCTGCGTTCGTCGTACGCCGAAGGCGGCGCTGTCCAGCGAGGTGGCGCGCTACAGCCGCGGAGGCGCGCAGTTAACCCGCGGCTCGGCGCGCGCACGTTCGCGGTCGCGCACGCAGCCGTTCACGAGCGCGATTCGTACGGGCAGCGTGATGTATCGGCGATCGCCGGCAAGCCGGCTCGACGCCGCCGGCGGCCACCTACGGGCGGACGGCGTCCGAACGGCGTCACGCGACCGCGAGTCGCCCGTCTGCGTACAGCGGCCGCAGCCAGCACGGGGCATGCCGAGCAGCAGCAGCATCGCCACGGCGACTCGATGCGACGTTGTGCCAGGACGCCGTCCGCAGTAGATGCGGAGGCAGCGCGCGGGCTGCCGAGCGCAGGCAGGTGCCGTGTTCGAGTCGACGATGCGCCCGGGTAGATGAGGGAAGAGGAAGGACGCCGAAGCCAGTGATAGCGGACGTCGTCGTCGCCGCGGGCGACGAGGCGTGCCCGAGCTCGTGCGCACCGCGCAGACGAGCCAGCGTGGCAGGTAGTACGCGAGCTGATGATGGGGAGGTTGACGCGGCGATCACCGGCTGCAGCACGGTGCGCGTTGCCGCCGCGACGCGCGTCCCCGCGCCCGGCAGCCACCGCGTTTTTCAGCGTCATCGCCGAGTGAGCGTCACGGAGGCGAACATGAGGCCGACGATACAGGCCGCGCCGCGCTGAACCACAGCTGCGGAAGCGCGGCTCTGCGCGCTTGCCGCGCGCATCAGGCGGTCATCAGCGCCTCGCGATTGTACAGCGGACCTGGCAGACGTGGCGGTGACGAGGCGGTGCGCTGCATCGCGGCGCAGGTACGGTGCGGGCCAGGTATGTCTTGAAATAGACGTCGGAGGAGAGTAGACGCGGTCGGCCCAGAAGCCCAGATGAGCAGGGCGCGGCGTCAGTCTGGAGCATCGGCGGCGGCGGAAAATTGCGAGAAAACGCACGACCGACGACGACAACTTCCATGTTTACTGGGTTTTGCCAAGAGTGCGACACGGAGCGGCGTGTCCCTGTTTACGCAAGGCTCGACGCTGTGCTCTTATCGCCCGCCGCGCTCTTGCGTAGCGCTGCCATATCATTTCTGCATGGGTCTGTTTGTGTGGTGAACGTGCGCCGAATGTATTGTCATGAGTCTGCAAAGCCCATGGAAGAAAATTGTTACACTTCGGCAGGGGCACATTTGAAGATGCTGGATTCTAGATGATCTAGCCATGCGTAAACTATAATGATGTTGGCAAGTTTACTCCACTTGTACGAGGGCAAACGCTGACCTAAAATTAAGATCAATCCATTCATGTATGTCAATCTGCGGATTTGCCATAACTACTATGCTTCGCACAAATGTAAAAAGGGCATAAATGAAGATTAAATATTTTTACCAATACAGATAAGATACAACTTTGGTAATATCATTTTAGAAGGCGAGGACTTCCTATATTACATCCTTATTGCTGTGCATGCCTAAGTGCATGCAGACATACCTCAAACTACAATAAAGTACAGTCAGTCTATATTTTTAATTCAGCAAGTTCAGCCAGGTTTGCCACATATTGCGCAATTATAGTTGGTATAATTGTGATAAATACATTGCCACATCTACAAGCATGCTACCATTTTTTATAGGTGTTAATGGGGAGACCTGTGCCATATGTCTTTCAATTGCCTATGCCAAATAAGTACTAAATGTGTGTCTGGTGTAGTGGGTGTGTGTGTGTGTGTGTGCTGTGTGTGTGTGGTGTGTGTGTGTGTGTGTTGTTGTGTGTCGTGTTGTGACTCGCAGCGTAGGGCCTGTTACCTCCCATCCATTGTTGATACAAATCACGCTGTCCTGAAACTCCTGTTTTAATAATTCATTTTTTATGGGGCATTGATACCCTTACCCTAACCTATTCTAACCTAACCCTATCTAACCCTAACCCTAAACCCTAATCCTAACCCTAACCACTAGACTTAGAATTTAATTTTAAATAATTAACTATAATGACTGTATCAACCAATGGTGAGTTGGGAGCGTATGCAGCGCCCTAGCTGCGAGTTCTGTGTGTGTGTGTTGTGCGGTCAGTGTCGCCGTCGTGGTGCGTGGCTACCGAAACACAAACTTTAATCAGGCCACAATGTCCACCATGAACATTGTGCTGTCACTAGACAGAAAGATGTATGACTGGCTACAAAATGCATATCCTAACAGTGTTTAGGTATGCCGATTCTGCGCTACAAGTCGTTTAACTAGGCGCACTAAAGGCAACGCTCCGCTCGTGGATAAGCAAATTGCTAAGCATCTGCGATTACGGAGTCACTCTTTATTCTGTTCACTTCTTCACATGTTTCATATAGCACAGCCTTAATTTAAATCAGTCCACACGTGATTATTTTGCATATTGCTGATGATACTTACGCTGTATTTTTTTATGTCGTAATAAACAATGCACAGCGCCAGTATACTGCAACCAATCAATTCTTTTTCCAGTGCTTCTTGCGAAAACAATACGGGAGGTGCATATGTCCCTGCGTTTCGGCTAATCAACGATTTCACGTACTATTGTATCTATAT